CCTGTTTCCAAACCTATCATAGTATGTTATTGTTGTTATGTGCCATTGAGCCACCTGTGATGTATAGCAACCATATGTACAGCAGCTCTGAACCCTTCCCTGTCCTGAGCCAGTCTCACTAATTCCAACACACCATCCCCCATGACCCCAGTTTCTGTATCAATCCATCTCATTTGAGATCTCTCTCTCCTGCGCTGTTCATCCAGCCTTCTGAGCATAATGTTCTTCACCAAGGACCGATCTCTCTTAGCCACATGCCCAGAGTAAGTGAGGCGGAGCTTCAAGATCCTAGACTCCAAGGAAAGGCTTGGTTTCATCCTCTCTAAGACAGACCTATTTGTTTTCAAGACTCTTCTGCAGCACAACAACTCAAAGCCTTCTATTCTTCTGTCATCCTTAGTCATTGTCCAACTCTCTGAAGCATAACAAGTAATTGAGAAGACCATGGTCTGGATTAGGCACACCTTTGTATCTAAACTGACATCACTGCTCTTCAGCACTCTGGAGAAGTACATGACAGTAGATTTTCAATGCAATTCGTATTTTGATTTCCTGACTGCTGGTGTTAAGAATGTTGATTGTGGGTCCTCTATTATGGTGCTTCCAAATGGCCCAGTGGTGAGAATCTTTGTCTTCTTGATGTTGAGTTTCAATTCATATTGAAGACTGTGTTGTTGTTGTTGTTATTTGCCTTTGAGTCATGTGCTTGTGACCCATAGCAACCCCATATACAACAGTCCTAAACCCTGCTCTATCCCTTGCCAATCTTATTGTCTCTGACATGACCATCCCTACTGCCCGAGTGACTGAACAATCCATCTCATCAAGGGTCTTCCTCTCCTGTGCTGTCCCTCCACACTCCCAAGCATTACATCCTTTTCCAAAGACTGATCCTCCCTTGAAACATGTTCAAAGTATGTCAGATGGAGCTTCAGAATCCTTGCCAAGGAGCAGCCTGGCTTCACCCTTTCTAGGACAAAGTTGTTTGTTCTCCTAGCAGTCCATGGTGTATTCACTACTCTTCTCCAGCACCAAAGCTCAGAGATATTAACTCTCCTTATATCAACCCTAGTCATTGTCCAGGTCTCTGATGTATAGCAAGTAATTGTAAAGACTATGGCCTAAATCAGGCGCACCTTAGCCTCCAGACTTACATCATTGCTCTTTAGTACTTTGAAGAGATCTCTTAACAGCAGACTTTCCCAATGCAATTCATCTTTTAATTTCCTGGCTCCTGGTACCAAGAGTGTTGACTGTAGAGCCAAGCTAACTGAAGCTGTCAACAATCTCAATCTCTTTATCAACCATATTGATGCTGGCAATCAGCCCAGTGGTGAGAATCTTTGTTTTCTTGACATTGAGCTTCAATCCATATTGAAGGCTGCAATTCTTGACCTTCAGGGTCCTCCTCAGTTTCAGCAAACAGGGTTATATCATCTGCATAATGCAGATTGTTGATGAGTCTACCTCCAATCTTGATGCCACACTTCTCCTCATAGAGCCCAGCCTCCCAGATAATCTGTTCTGCATATAGATGTATAGATGGAAAAGATATGGAAACAAGACCCACCCCTGATGTACATCCTTCCCAGTTTTGAACCATGCAGTGTTTCCTTGCTCTGTTCTGATGACTGTCTCTTGGTCCAGGTATAGGTTTCGTATAAGTACAATCAAGTGTTCTGGGATCCCATTCTTCTCAGAGTCAGCCACAGTTTGTTGTGATCCACACAGTCAAACATCTTTGCATAGTCAATCTGGTACTCTCTGCTTTCAGCCAAGATCCATCTAACATTAGCTAAAATATCCCTAGTACCATGGCCCCATCTAAACCCAGCCTGCACTTCTGGCAGTTCTCTGTTGATGCACTGTTCTAGTAGTTTTTGCATAATCTTCAACAGAATCTTGCTTGCATGTGATATCAATGATACTGTTCGATAATTTCCAATCTCTGTCGATCACCTTTCTTTGGAATGGGAACACATATAGATCTCTTCCAGTCAGTAGGCCAGGTGGTTGTTCTCAAAATTTCTTGCCACAACTTCATGAGCACGTCCAGGTCAGCATCTGTTCATTGAAATACAGCAATCAGTATGCCATAAATTCCTGGGACCTGGTTTTTGTTTTGTTTTTTGTTTTGTTTTGTTTTTTGGGTGTTTTTTTTTGTCAATTCTTTCAGAGCAGCTTGAACTTCTTCTTTCATCACCATAGGCTCTTGCTCACACGTTGTTTCATGATATTCTTCTGTGCCCACCAATTCCTTTCGGTACAATGACTCTGTATACTCTTTCCATCATTCTTTTAATGCTTCCTGGGTCATTTCATATTCTGCCGAAAGCATCCTTAAGTATTGCAATTTGAGGTTTGAATTTGTTTTTTACTTCCCTGAGCTTAAGAAACTCTGAGCTAGTTCGGCCCTTTTGATTTTCTGACTCCAGCTTCTTGCACATTTCATTGTAATACTTAAGAAGACTGCACTCTGAAATATTCAGTGAATGGCCCAAGAATGATTAGGTTTTTCAGTTTGGTTGGTGAGAATAGGCTCAGTCTGAACTCAAGGATCTGTTACGGCAAATCCTTTCCAATTGCTCTTTCCTCAGCCAGAAGTTATTTTGTGTTATAGAGTCAGTACTAACTCATAGTCCAGGGTTTTTTCCAGGCTGTAAATAGCAGGGGAAGAGACTGCCAACTTTCTCTAGTGCAGCAGTTAACGGATTTGGGTTGGCAGCACAGCTTCTTACCACTAAGGCAACCAGAGCCCTGCATTTCCTCAAATACTGAATGCTTCCAGGAGACTCCACAGATCCTTGGCATTCTGTCTGCAAGACTCTCCTTTTTGGGTACTCTCTTCTCTAAATTTTAGTGACATTAGTGTCCCTTGACCTTTAACACTTGTCTCCAAGGCTTCATGGTTTGGGACCTTTTTAAATTCAATAAACATAGGTGAGTGAGCTCTCAGCTCATTTATTTCCCCAGTCTTCCATTGTCTGATGCTCAGTGCCTCGCAAACAGATGCTTTGTCTGTATTAAAAAACTCAAAACTCACTGCTGTAAGTTGGCCATCCTTGGGATTCTGAGGCTGTAAATCACACAGGAGGACATTGCCCAGCTTTTCTCCTGCCAACACGGCCTTTGAGTTAGCACAACACACGTGGGGCTACAGCGTTAGAGCGCAGGATTTTTACTGTTTCAAGTAGGAAATTCCATCCACTCGCTGTTACTGCATATTGGCAAAAATGGAACTAGCGTGCACTAGCACGTGCGCTTTAATTTTTTTAAAATTATTTTTGTGTTTGGCTCTTCTGGAGAAGGAGGGGCAATGTCCTCCTGTACCAGTCAGATCCGATTTGATGGTAGGTATACACACACACACACACACACACACACACACACACACACACACAAATGATTACTGTGTTTCCTTCATGTACATTTTAACCCACGCCCCCTACAGTCCACCAAATTCTTTCTTCACCTCCTCACCCTCAGCCCTGCTCCCTCTCCTTCCTTCATTGGATATCCCTACATATTGGTTAACCTT